AAGTCATGTTGACATATGATCCTAAGTCATGTTGACATATGATCATAAGTCATGTTGACATATGATCTTAAGTCATGTTGACATATGATCTTAAGACATGTTGACATATGATCCTAAGTCATGTTGACATATGATCCTAAGTCATGTTGACATATGATCGTAAGTCATGTTGACATATGGTCTTAAGTCATGTTGACATATGATCTTAAGTCATGTTGACATATGATCTTAAGTCATGTTGACATATGATCCTAAGTCATGTTGACATATGATCTTAAGTCATGTTGACATATGATCCTAAGTCATGTTGACATATGATCGTAAGTCACGTTGACATATGATCCTAAGTCATGTTGACATATGATCCTAAGTCATGTTGACATATGATCCTAAGTCATGTTGACATATGATCGTAAGTCATGTTGACATATGATCTTAAGTCATGTTGACATATGACCTTAAGACATGTTGACATATGATCTTAAGTCATGTTGACATATGATCGTAAGTCAGGTTGACATATGATCCTAAGTCATGTTGACATATGATCTTAAGTCATGCTGCTGTTGTCATGTATAAATAATTTGAAGCTTTTTTATTTATCCCCTTCTTTAGGAGAAAAAAACCCAGAAATTACACAGCATAACTTGCGCCGCTGTGCGGGCAAAATTATAGGAAATTCAAGGGGCATAGAACAAACAAAAGTCACGGCCTAGTATCACCGGCCTCTGATCATTTAAATGCCATTTCTCTTAGCGATACCACTGGTTCTATCGATACCGCTGATCTTATTGGTACACATAACTTAGCGATACCACCGGTCTTAGCGATACCGCTGGTCTTATTGGTACACATAGCTTAGCGATACCACCGGTCTTAGCGACACCGCTGATCTTATTGGTACACATAACTTAGCGATACCACCGGTCTTAGCGATACCACTGATCTTATTGGTACACATAGCTTAGCGATACCACTGGTCTTAGCGATACTACTGATCGTAACGATACTACAGTATTTAAAACGAACAAATGACGTCATATAAATGAGATATACATACCTGCCAAAGATTCCAATTCCTTCAGAGCTGAAAAAAAAAAAAACGTCATCAGAGAACAATGTTAAGTTTAAGCTATGTTAAATGAACATAAAGTACGCTTTCAGGAAATGCCCTACAAAATATTTTACATTTCATGTCCACCCAAATTTTATCCCCTAATTTTTTTGTAAATTTTATTTTATTTATTTATTTATTTATGCTTTGTCTTCTGCCAGAGAACTCTATTTATCCAACTTTTAATGTTCATATGTAAATGCCCGTCTTTATATATCCACGTTTATATGTGCATCATTATATGTCCATCACTATATGTCCTTCATCAAATGTCCCTCATGATATGTCCATCATTATATGCATGTCACTATTATGTCCATCACCATATTTGCAGCATTTGCCACACAGTCCATACATGACCGAATGTGACACTGTTTCTGCGTCGTGTTAAATGTGGGTCTTCGTACAACTTACCTTTTCCATACAAACCTGAAAAAAAAATTTACACATTGTCACATCAATGATACCAATAGACAAAACAGTTTGTCAAAATAGTATAAAATTAAATATTGCCCATGAATCGAAATTTCTACTGGTTTTACGTTTTTAATTTCCTTATAATTTTATAAAGCCTACGTCTATATACTCTTGTCTATATACTCTTGTCTGTGTACTCTTGTCTATATACTCTTGTCTATATTCACTTTCACCAATAAACCCGTGCCATGCTTGCTTATGTTTTTAAAATGCTTTAACTTTTTTTCTATGACTTGTAGAGACGTGAGATTTCTTGACAACTCTTCGATGATCAGTTTCAAGAACAAACAAAAAATCTGGAGAAAAAAATCTGTACTTGTCCCCGAGAGGTGGGGTCAAGTTGAATGCACACCTACAACAGACGGCCTAGGTACACTTGTACCTGTGTATGGAAATTATCAGTGTAATTATATTTTCTGTATGGTGTTTAGTATCTGCGCATTGTAAAGTTTCGAAAATTAGCCCCGTAGAGCGTCGACTTTACGATGTGACGAATATCCGAAACATCGGGTTTCCGAATGAGTCGAGTTTACAGAGTGTGCTGAGCGTTGTCGGCGTGCCGTGGAGCAGACGAGAACGCAAAGAACTGGAAGCTGTTTGTTTTGTGTTTTTGGTGTGTTTACATCAATCAGCTGATCTCGTGACGCCGTACTTTATGCTAAGAATATCTCGTATTCACTAACTGCTTTAACGCAACATTATACGTTAGGGTAACGGCACAACGCTGTCTGAAACACCCCGGCGCCCAATTAATTCCACACAACGCTACGCTGCAGCGTCTTTTTTCCTAGGGTGCCCGTAAATCTAGGGGGGGGGGGATAAACGAGACGTTGTCAGAGGGTGCTTGAAATATATTTTAAAATCAAGATGATGGGTTGGGGGTGCGGGAAATATTTCGATATCAAGAGGGGGTGCAGCGTCACAAATGTTTTAAGAACCCCTGCTCTGGTCTATATGTATGGGATGTTAAACTTTTTAAAATATTTTTTTAAATTGATTTTACATAGGTAAATGTAAAGGGGGGAAATATCTTAATGTATTTTAGTATGGATCTCTATGTGTCAATTTTATCCTATAAAGTCTTATGGTCGTTCGTTATTTAGAAATGTATCGGTATGTTTCCATAAAATAACTAACAATTATTATTTTAATTTAGAAAGGCGCAAGGCTCGATCCTAAAGGAACGGACGGGAACGGACGGGAACGGCATTCCTATTTTTTTTCTTTTTTGCTAAGAAAGAAATGCACATTTATTTCGGGAAGGGGGCTCTTGGGGTAGCCCAAACCACTTTTTCCAAGTTCAAAGCACGTAACTTTAAACTTAAACCCTAATCAACAAGAAATATTTTTTTATTTGTATTGTTCTTTCTCTATTTTTTGCATGATTCCTATGTAAAATATAATACAAAGTCATGCACTCTGTGACCGATAAAAAATATCAAAACAGTTGTCATTCGGATAATCAACGTTTGGGATCATCGGAATTCGGTAAATCGGCGCTATACTGTACCATTTTACAAAATTTAACCTCCAAATTGTGTAAATACGAAATACCGCACGTAAATTATTCTCACACTTTGAAGTGTCCTGTCAAGTACGTGAAGGTACAATTATTGTAACTATGCCGCCTGTCAGGGTTTTAAAAAGAAACAACAACAACATAATTTGTTTAAAGATGCTTCAGCATTTTAGACTTACCGCGTTGTGAACCTGAAACAGTAATAAATAATTCAACCATTAACACATAGGTTTTGTCTGGTCAAACATGAGAGCTGGATGGTCCAATGTGGGGCAAACAAGTTACAAATGAAACACGTGATGCCATGGTGAACAGGTGAATTAGTGAGACAAAAGACACAAGTGAGACCCTTGATGCTACAAGTGAAAACATGCGATGTCATGGTGAACAGGTGAACTAGTGAGACAAAAGACACAAGTGAGACCCTTGATGCCACAAGTGAAAACATGCGATGTCATGGTGAACACGTGAACTAGTGAGACAAAAGACTCAAGTGAGACCCTTGATGCCACAAGTGAAAACATGTGATGCCATGGTGAACACGTGAACTAATGAGATTAAAGACACAAGTGAAACACGTGATGCCATGGTGAACATGTGAACTAGTGAGACAAAAGACACAAGTGAGACCCTTGATGCCACAAGTGAAAACATGTGATGTCATGGGGAACACGTGAACAAACAGCTCGGTCGTCCTGTACGGAGCCCAGTGGGTTACTCAAGCGACAAGACGGGCAATGACTGCTGCCAATTTTTTTATTGTTTGCAAAAAGTGCTCCAGGTGAGAAAAATCTGACAGTTGAAGGTAACGTACCTTTAAATTGCACCTCTGTTCTTGACCCTGCAATGTCTTTCACTGAAAACCAAAGTAAAAGCATGGAAATTATGGAATCGTTCTTAAAATGCTTTGTTGGGAGCATGACGTCCTTTTAAACGTGTAAAAAATTGAACCACATTGTTTAGGATCGTGGCATCAAAGGATTGTTAGTGCGTGTGGTTGCTATGGTTACAGATATTAAACTGGTTAGGAAGTGTTTAATTCCTGATTATACGTATATTAATGATATGTGTGGAAAGTGGACATCACAATAAAACGTGTCAAACTCGACCTGAAGTGGCCAGATTTATTTACCTGCGTAGAGTGACTCTCTTTTAGCTGTTATTGGGGGTGGGGGAGGCACAAAATACTAAATTAGATTAGTATATATAATACCGTATTTAATGAATAAAATTAGCTTAAATAAAAGTGCATACATGGTAAGTTTATTAAATGTGTATAAGAAACACATTTTTAGCAAAGCATCGCCACACGCACTGCTCAAGATAACATTCATTTTTAACAGTACAAAAATGTCTAAAGAAAAATATGATTAATTTTTTGTGTGGAAAATTCAAATACAAATTTATTATTAGTAGTTAGACTCTTCGGCAATTATTCCAGCCTTTCTTTGCCGCTGGCTCTCGATAACAGACATGGTGTTTCTCCTATTGACTTTTATAAGTTTTATTTTTTAACAATTAAATTATTTTCCTCATTGATTTTCTTGTCTTCTTATACTAAAAACCTGCCTAGCAATGAACCTGCCTGGCAATGAACCTGCCTAGCAATCAACCTGCATTTTAGGAAGGTTGTGAACAGTGAAAGTTTATAGTGTAAATATTTTCATATACACAATGTTTATTATAAAACTCATATATTCATAAAGGATATATTACATCATACAGTCATGAAGTACATATAACATTATACAGTCCTAAAGGACATATAACATCATGCAGTCATATAAGACATATAACAGTATACCGTCCTAAAGGACATGTTACATACCATCTCTTCTCATATTTCCGGACATAAAGTACATATAACAGTATAACGTCCTAAAGGACATATTACGCACCATCTCTTCTCATATTTCCGGACATAACTGAATTTTCGTCGTCATCGTTCTCTGTGGTCATAAACAAAAACAACAACATTTGTAATGAGGTCACGTGCCTTAGAAATACCTTAACTTGATGGGTCTACCTGTACAGCTTGACGTTTACTTTTACATGTTGACATTTACCTGTACATAATGACATTTACCTGTACATGTTGACATTTACCTGTACATGTTGACATTTACCTGTACATGTTGACATTTACCTGCATACCTTGAAGCTTTTACTAACATTATCTAATGGACACGTATATTAACATTGATTTTCTTTTGATGTATAAGACTACTATTGTGAAGACTACCATTGTGAAGACTACTATTGTGAAGACTACTATTGTGAAGACTACCATTGTGAAGACTACTATTGTGAAGACTACTATTGTGAAGACTACTATTGTGAAGACTACTATTGTGAAGACTACTATTGTGAAGACTACTATTGTGAAGACTATTTTTGTGAAGACTACTATTGCGAAGACTACTATTGTGAAGACTACCATTGTGAAGACTACTATTGCGAAGAATATTATTGCGAAGTCTACTATTGCGAAGACTACTATTGTGAAGACTACTATTGTGAAGACTACTATTGCAAAGACTACTATTGTGAAGACTACTATTGTGAAGACTACCATTGTGAAGACTACTATTGTGAAGACTACTATTGTGAAGACTACTATTGCAAAGACTACTATTGTGACGACTACTATTGCGAAGACTACTATTGTGAAGACTACTATTGCGAAGACTACCATTGTGAAGACTACTATTGTGAAGACTACTATTGTGAAGACTACTATTGCAAAGACTACTATTCTGACGACTACTATTGCGAAGACTACTATTGTGAAGACTACTATTGTGAAGACTACTATTGCGAAGACTACTATTGTGAAGACTACCATTGTGAAGACTACAATTGTGAAGAATATTATTGCGAAGTCTACTATTGCGAAGACTACTATTGTGAAGACTACTATTGTGAAGACGACTACTATTGCAAAGACTACTATTGTGAAGACTACTATTGTGAAGACTACCATTGTGAAGACTACTATTGTGAAGACTACTATTGTGAAGACTACTATTGTGAAGACTACTATTGTGAAGACTACTATTGCGAAGACTACTATTGTGAAGACTACTATTGTGAAGACTACCAATGTGAAGACTACTATTGTGAAGACTACTATTGTGAAGACTACTATTGTGAAGACTACTAATCGCGAAGACTACTATTGCGAAGACTACTATTGCGAAGTCTACTATTGCGAAGACTACTATTTTCGAAGACTACTATTGCAAAGATGACTACTATTGCAAAGACTACTATTGTGAAGACTACTATTGTAAAGACTACCATTGTGAAGACTACTATTGTGAAGACTACTATTGTGAAGACTACTTTTGTAAAGACTACTATTGTGAAGACTACTATTGTTAAGATTACTATTGTGAAGACTACTATTGCGAATACTACTAATGTGAGGACTACTATTGTGAAGACTACTTTTGCGAAGACTACTATTGTGAAGACTACTATTGCAAAGACTACTATTGCGAAGACTACTATTGCGAAGTCTACTATTGCGAAGACTACTATTGCGAAGACTACTATTGTGAAGACTACTATTGCGAAGATGACTACTATTGCAAAGACTACTATTGTGAAGACTACTATTGTGAAGACTACCATTGTGAAGACTACTATTGCGAAGACTACTATTGCGAAGTCTACTATTGCGAAGACTACTATTGTGAAGACTACTATTGCGAAGATGACTACTATTGCAAAGACTACTATTGTGAAGACTACTATTGTGAAGACTACTATTGTGAAGACTACTATTGCGAAGACTACTATTGCGAAGTCTACTATTGCGAAGACTACTATTGTGAAGACTACTATTGCGAAGACGACTACTATTGCAAAGACTACTATTGTGAAGACTACTATTGCAAAGACTATTATTGCGAAGACTACTATTGCGAAGACTACTATTGCAAAGACTACTATTGTGAAGACTACTATTGCGAAGACTACTATTGTGAAGACTACTATTGTGAAGACTACTATTGCGAAGACTACTATTGCAAAGACTACTATTGTGAAGACTACTATTGAGAAGACTACTATTGTGAAGACTACTATTGCAAAGACTACTATTGTGAAGACTACTATTGCGAAGACTACTATTGTGAAGACTACTATTGTGAAGACTACTATTGCGAAGACTACTATTGCGAAGACTACTATTGTGAAGACTACTATTGCGAAGACTACTATTGTGAAGACTACTATTGCGAAGATGACTACTATTGCAAAGACTACTATTGTGAAGACTACTATTGCAAAGACTACTATTGCGAAGACTACTATTGTGAATACTACTATTGTGAAGACTACTATTGTGAAGACTACTATTGCGAAGACTACTATTGTAAAGACTACTATTGTGAAGACTACTATTGCAAAGACTACTATTGCGAAGACTACTATTGTAAAGACTACTATTGCGAAGACTACTATTGTGAAGACTACTATTGTAAAGACTACTATTGAGAAGACTACAATTGCGAAGACTACTATTGTGAAGACTACTATTTGCAGACCACCATAGTGGATACTACTATTGTATAGACAACTATTATGTAGACTTCCATTATTTGACTACTATTAGTAAGACTACTATTATCTTTGACATATTATTACCTGTGATCATGGTAAGTGGTTGTAATGTTGAGGATGATTCTTTCATCAGAGCATCCCAATCAACATTGTATTTGTCGTCTGGTGATAAAGGGTATCATAAAAGTACTTGTGCCTTATAGCGCTGTTTTTTTTTACATGTATGTTTTTAGAACTTGTTGTTTTAAAAAAAAATGTATAAAATTACATATTTCTATGGGTGTCGAATGTAAAAACATAAAGGAAGCTTTTAAGGCCATAAAACCCGATTGGGATATTAGATGTAACCATTTCATAAACACTACCTTATAAGAAATTCAATCCGATAAAAAGATATGTACACTTCGAATATTTTAATGAGTTCACGTGAAAACGATGAGCATCGTGGCCTTGACCCACTCACCCGTACTTCCGTCGTCTGGTACAACAAAGTTCTTCTTATCCTTGTCCAGCCTGGGCAGGCTGTAGGATTCCTTCCTGAGGTCGGCCGAGCGTTGCAACTGGTCCAGTCTTTTGGCTCTCGTGCTCAGTATATCCCTGATGGCTTTCTGGGCGTTAAACTGGTTCTATTCAAACAATTCACGGGTCAATATCAATGCGTTTTCTCTTAGTAGTCATTCAATTCAGCTTTTATTTTCTTATGGGGTGTAACTTTATTATAAACTGCATACTTGGGATGAAATATCTTTTTTTTTAAAGATTTGGAAACTTAATGAAGAACCGGGAAAACCCCGAAAAAGCACCAAAACGCACCAGTTTCTGAAATAGTGCGAAAGATTGTTTATTTTTTTATAACTAAATCTTTAAGCGCTTTGAAAAGAAGTGTTTAGTATTAATATATTGCTGTTTGGTGTCTTACGAAATTGAAAATACGGATATGAATGAATGTATAAATGAAAGTTAAACAAATTTAGCCGCACGTTTAGAAGCCGTACGGCTAAAGCAGGCTATTGAACTCTTATGACAGACAAGTACGCACCGCAAGAAAATGTAGTCTTGACCTGAGCTGGTCGTCTATTGGGTCATCTGAGTTTTGTAGAACAAACAAAATGTCGTTGAATTCTTCTATCCTTAACCTCCGTAGTATGTTCTGATGAGAAGACATGTCGGTGCTACTGAGTCATCGTAATATTTAACGGTGAAGACATTCCCCACACATTCTCAGACAGACCTTATAATCTCCACATCTACAACCTGGCCATAATAACCCCGCATTAACGCGTAAACAATTAACTGCTCCACACCAGCAACACAACACAATACATTACAACACAACACAATACCATACAATGCCTCACACTGCAGAAAAGGTCCAAATTTGTAATCGTTTATATATATATATATATATATTTTTTTTTTTTATATCAAACAAACCTACTTAGAACCTAATGATGACCCTTGCAGAAAAGGTCCAAATTTGTAATCGTTTATATATATATATATATATTTTTTTTTTTTTTTATATCAAACAAACCTACTTAGAACCTAATGATGACCCACTTAAGCCAGTTCAGATATAGGATGGGGTTTATGTGTTAAACAAATGTATACACTAAACTGTTCCCTAACATACTGTAACCAACTTAAAAACGTTCATACTAATCGTGTCCAGAAGTAGTCCAATACCATACTGTGCTCACAAGTACCCATTTACCCACAAGTACCCATGTACCCTTATGCTTATGTGTACCCTCCTTTGTGCCCATGCACTCATGCACCCTGCCGTACCCACCTCTTGCTGTTTGGCGGCGTCCATTATAGGCTGTAGTCGGGTCAGCACCGTTCTTCTTGTCTGTCGTAGATGGATGTTGGCCTTCTCCAGATCCTTCAAATACTTGACCTTCTCCTGTCTGTAATGGTTGTTGTCTACACACCTGTTTGGGGGTGGGGGAGGGGGGGCGTCATTTGTTAGGAATTGCGCAGCCTAGCAGAAGGAGACTATCTCATGTAGACAGCTTTGTGTTGACTGATTACCGGAAACTGCCAATACGATACAGTATTCTTTTTTTTTTGCATACAGAATTATAGAGAGATCTGAAGACAATGAGTTACGTAGTCTCACTAGAAGACTGACATAAGTACAAACCACAGCAAACATCAAAGACACCAGGTTCAGAAAACACTGACATATAATACAGGCTGCAAAAACACACTGAGGGGACTTTGTGCTATGAACGAGGACTCAAGAGGACTCACTTGTACAGGCAGTGTGCTATAACATCTATTGGGTCTGACGGGCGTACTTCCGTCACATGTCTGAGACATTCCGGCAGGTATACACCCACGGTTCTCTTCAGAAAAATGTCGTACTTCAGATCCATTTTGGATTTCTGACAAGCCAAGGGGAGGAAAGAACATAAGCATTTTACATGATGTCGCCAGTATCGGTGTCGTACCTTGGCTTGGGAAGATGTTGATCGTCCCGGGTGGTCCTTTTCGGTTTATATCAATGTGTATGATTTCATATATATACCGGGTATATATATATATATATACTTAAGATGCATGTGTGTTTGTTTGTTGTTGGTTTTTTTTGTTAGTTTTTTTTTTTTTTTTTGTGTGGGGTGGGGTGCACATCGGGGAGTTAGCCCTGGCTTACATGAACTGGAGGCATGTCACTGGACTGAATGATCAAGTTCATGGCAATCAATAAGGTAATTGATGAATAAACGAAGATGTGCCAGCTCTCAATGTTGCAGCACAAGTTAGTTGATTTTGCGTGCCAAATAACCTTCATTGTACTCTTGAAATAGCAGGCCACTCCATTTCTAGGGACAGAGGAAGACCACGCAGACGTTGAATCGATCGTGTTAAGGACACCCCCAAAAGGGTTACCGGAAATTGGTGCAAAATCAATGTTATCGGCTGTTTCTTAATTGTCATCCCATGACGTCATTGCGTGTTTATTTAACACGTGTCAACCAAGATGGCGGCCATGATGGGACACCCCGGGCCGACAGCAAATAATTGACCATTTTATCTAAGGAATGTCGTTCAAAAAGTGATGGCAATGCACTCTTAATGAAAGTCGGTTCAAAATTAATTTTTTCTCCGAAGATTTAACCACAACACAATGTTATGTGAATATGCGAGTGAGAAATGGGACATCTGTAACCTTTTAAAATGACATTTATTTTTTTATGTAAGTTGTTCTCTGTCTATCTTGCCTTTCGAACACCCCTAACTTACCTTCACAGACGGCAATCGTAATCGTTGACCGTAGTCATTCATTTCGTCCATGGTTGTTGTTCACCAGAGTCAGATTTTAGGGACTAATATAAAAGAACATAAAAATCCCCTACTGTCTGTGTCTAGTTCACCTAACGACGGCACCAGGGCTTTGGTTGCAGCGTTCAACATGGGCCACCGGTCCGCACCGAAGCTGAACATTTCACTGCCTGGCGAGTACACACGGCGGCAATGCGCACCCAATGTTGACACCAAAATGCATAGTTCTCTATGTGACAATGTAACACTTAACTAATGTCACATTCGCTGTTATGACATTTAAAATGACCTGATTGCTGAGCTACACGAGCTTCTTACAATACCATAAGTGCTTTTGTGGTATAATATTTTATTTTGTTTTACTTAAATATTCTGAATTTAAATCTTGTGTTATAAATCTGCGGAGTAAAAAGAGACTGGAAAAAAAGGGTGGGTGGGTATGATCATATTAATATAATTTAGGGGCGTGAAAAAAGTGCACGGTTGTGAACCTGGGGGGGGGGGGAAAAACTAATTGGGTATCTATTAAAGAGGGCAGCTGGAATTCATTTTTTTGTCAAGTAGATGTAGTAGATGGGAAGTTCAGGCATTGTGGCCGCCAAGGTTGTCTTTTTCTATGAAACACTGCCCTGGGGTGCCACAAATTTCTCACAGGGGTGGGGGCGCGAATCCTACATGTGACTTGAGTCCCCGTAATAGTTTACAGTCATTAGATGACGGTTGGTGACGTAAGTACGTGTTTTGTTTATTTTAACTCAACCCTTTATAATTTTGGTAAAGTATTCGCTCGTTAGAAGTGCACTAGTCTCGTTAGAAGTGCACTAGTCTCGTTAGAAGTGCACTAGTCAGTATTAAACTCAGGGCGCCTGGTGTAAACCTAATTTTGGTTGGAGCACTAGGAGTTAAAATATTCTAGGAACCAATGGCGCAGTCGAACAATTTACGTAACAGTCCGGTGGAATATGTGATGGACAAACTATTAATATTATTATAATTAAAATGGTTTTATATAGCGCAGCACCCCAGGATCACTCTAATTATTACTAGTATTATTACTGAGTAGACCCACTACAAGAGAGACAAGCAGCGAGGACACTCTTCACAACACATTGCAATTATAGAGTTTTTTTCTTCTTGTCGGGATCCCGCGGATTTCACAGGATTTTTAATTAAACAACAGGCTTTGTGGGAAATTTTCCCATCCTGCCTTCCCCCTGAAAAAAAAACTGAAATGACGCCCCTTTCTTTAACAACTTTCTTTAAATGGACACTGATCTCATAAACATCTTTAATTAAATTAGCATGAACAAAATACGTTTGCTTATTCCATCGTATACGAAGTTAATTTTAACAGTTTAGGTAACAGGTTTACGAAGGCAATTTTAACAGTTTAGGTAACACGTTAACAATGACTTCAAGAAGAGGGAGTAAACAATTTGTTTTACTCCTTCGTGGAGATGTTTTGTCATCCTGTGTTGTGAGCGGAACAATTTAAAAGGCACAGGTCAGTATTTGTGAGCAAATGACGAGACAGCACGGGAGCATCAAACAATTGAAACAATGTATTCCTTTCAAACATAAGAAAACAGGATTTTAGCTAGAACTAATTAACAAAGTCATGGTGTTGGCACCAGCGGTGTAACATAAATCTCCTACGCGTTGAGCGACCGTCGTCCACCTCCTGTATAACATACTCCCGTGTTACAATGTCCTAAATAGGCGTACAAATAAGTAATTAACCAGTGAATGGTCACTACGAAAAAATGAAAGTTCATTATAACAGGAAGAAATGTCATCATATTCGGAAGAACCATCAATACAATAGGATGCAATCCGATATTAATTATACCCCATCAATAGCTCTTAATTGTTTTTGTGTACATTGGTGGTACATATGTTTTGAAAAGTGGAAATTTACCTAGCAGTGCCTCTAGAGTAATAGTTTCATCAATTAATATTGCGAAAATGTAATTTCCTGATACGTAAAAAATAACACGATTTAGACTGTTGAGATCGTGACATGTTGTCCGAGTCACTTTACAGCGGTCAAATTTGCGGAACATGCCAACCAATATCACGTTATGACGTCAGGTGGAACTTGGTGTTTTTCGAAACAAAAACGTTCATCTTTCAGACCTTTCTGTACAGACTGTTGATGCTTAAATGAAATAGTTCAGTCATGTGACCATTTAGATTAAGGTCAAAGGTCACGTTGTGCTCACAAAACCTCATCGTCTACCGGGTCACACGTCCGATTGTGGGGGTGATCTTGACTTGGACATATCGTCGGCTAAGTTCACCCTGACCGTGGCCGTACTGGCATGACCTTCACCTTCACCTTCGTCCGTGTCAACGTTCAGGTCGTCCGTACTAATATAAAATATGGAAGGGACAGAGCCCCTCTCGTCATTTGACCCCTCCTCCTCCATGGAATCTGAGGAGGATGAGGAAGAGGAGCTTGAGGAAGACGCAAATATCCTGGCAAAGATGGACTTCCTCATATCGTCTGCCCCGGAGTTTGAGCTGTCTGAATCTGACGTGGACGAGTCCGAGTTTTTCTCCAGGGACAGCTCGGGCTCCACGTACGACATCCGTCTGACGTCATCGGGGTGCGCCAGGACTTCGTACTCTCCACCCCCATCGCTTTCAAAGTCGGCGATCACCTGAAGCTCTTCCTCCTGCGGTGGCGGCGCTTCCTGTGCCTCAACCCGCTGGGGTTTGGCAGCCGCTCCGGCCAATGTCCCGTTGCTGGCCTCCTCTTCAGGTATCGTGCTGGGGTGGGGCCGGAGCGACTGGTGAGAGGCGTGGAGGCTGGAGGAGGTCGGGGCCAGATGGCCGGGCTTGGTCTCCTCGGTGGCCTCCGGCGTCGTGTTGAAACGGTTCTTCAGGATGGGTAAAGATGGCGGAGATTTCAGTTTGACCAGATCAGCTTGGCTGAACGAGTTACTCCCTAGGCTCGCCTTCTTACGGATGATCGCGGGAGATGCCTGGGGGAAGGAAATATTGGCGGGAAAATGGTTTTCCACTTTTAAAAAAAAATATGTATGTATATGAATTCTATACATTAACCTACTACCATCTGTATAAATAAAGTTATTAAATGACTTAATGAAAATAAATGAAAATAATTTAAACATGTCCAAAGTAATTTGATATTGCCCAAATTAATTTAATCATGTCCAAGTAATTTGATATTGTCCAAATTAATTTAATCATGTCCAAAGTAATTCGATATTGTCCAAATTAATTTAATCATGTCCAAGTAATTTGATATTGTCCAAAATAATTTAATCATGTCCAAAGTAATTTGATATTGTCCAAATTACTTTAATCATGTCCAAGTAATTTGATATTGTCCAAATTAATTTAATCATGTCCAAGTAAATTGATATTGTCCAAATTAATTTAAACATGTCCAAAGTAATTTGATATTGTCCAAATTAATTTAATCATGTCCAAGTTATTTGATATTGTCCAAATTAATTTAATCATGTCCAAAGTAATTTGAGATTGTCCAAATTAATTTAATCATGTCCAAAGTAATTTGATATTGTCCAAATTAATTTAATCATGTCCAAGTAATTTGATATTGTCCAAATTAATTTAATCATGTCCAAGTAATTTGATATTGTCCAAATTAATTTAATCATGTCCAAAGTAATTTGATAATGTCCAAAGTAATTTAATCAAGTATAAAGCAATTTGATAATGTCCAAAGTAATTTAATCAAGTATAAAGCAATTTGATAATGTCCAAAGTAATTTAATCAAGTATAAATCAATTTGATAATGTCCAAAGTAATTTAATCATGTCCAATGTAATATTTAATCGTTCCCAAACTCCTTTAACTGGGTTCATGACGTTGAAATATTTAAAATCAGGACTTCTAAGAGCAGGATTAAGATTTTTCTTGATTTTTTGACACTTTGCTGCTCCAAATGCGGCCCTCAACATAAATTGCGGACCGGAAAGCATAAGAAATTTTTTTAACAAATTAAACACTGATCAGACTTTTAAAAAATTTTCTAAAATGAATGCTACATATAGGCTACACATATGCTAAATATATGCTACATATATGCTACATATATGCTACATATATGCTACATATATGCTACATATATGCTACACAACGTGCAACAGTTATAATCATTTTTTCGATAGCTGTAACAACATAAAAAAACCTTAGAAAAAACATTTCACTTGTGAATACCTTCTAGGGTAAATATAATGAGGCACTTGACGAACTCAAATTTGGGTAGCCCTTGATTTTATAAAAATATATATATATATATATATATATATATATACTAAAAAACAAAAAACAACTAATTCATTTAAATTATTGTCTTTGCGTGTCTTTACTCCATTGAGTGAGATTCGGTGATCATATAATTGGGATAGTTGGGTAAAGTGACAATAGGGTTTGCCTCGGTCTGACGCATTAAAAGTTCGAACTACATCATACTATTGATATTTGAGTTTCCCATTAAAATAATGTGTTCAGCCCGATAATTTCTTCACTTTTTAAGTAACCAATAACCCCCCGCCCCCCACGCCCCAGGTGGCTTATCGGAAACCGTCCAGCTAGTTTGAAACAACCTTACTTTGCTGTCAAACGGCAACATGGTGGACCGCCGTCTGCTGCTGATGTCCATCTCAGCCAGCGAGTTCCGTCTCTGGATCCGCCGCCTGAGACTCGTCCTGGTCTGGTCGTCGTCCAGTCTGCGCAGGAGAGCAGGGGAGCCCTCGACGCGGGAGAAGTGCGACATTCTCCTGGAGAAGCGCCTCATGGCTTCGTCGGATGGAGCCACGTTTGGTGTGATGATGATGCTCTCTCGTGCGAACATGTTCATTGTGCGCAAAATGGAGCGTCTCTCTCGCCTCAGATCGCTGAATGGGGTAAGATCATGAAGGAAAACTATATTTATTTTCGGAGAGAAAAGAGCACCATTGGTTTGGTGCGTATCATTTCCGCTTTCATATCATTTGCTGTTGTCATGGTTTGGTTAGGTAAACATGGATCGGATGACGTCACCGTGAATTGATAGGAAAGAAATTATTCAGAATATAAGTATACATTTTTTTTTAATACATATTTTGGGCATGTTTTAATGAACCCTTCTTAACATACTGGAATCGAGTTTAGAAACAATCAACATGATTTTTGGAACCAACCCAAAGTGGTAAAAGTAGGCGTCAACCACGGGCAAGCTAATCGGTTTTACAAAAATTTGGACGTATCCCAGAGTGTTAGATGTAAAGTGTTTAACTATTGAGCAAGCTGTTTGGGATGCCGCACACCACGCGCAATTAAACATGCAGTTAAAATGGCTGTTGACATGCTTCAATGCTCTGGAAATTGAAAGTGTGTGATGGACATTTAAGTATACACAATATTTCTTGGTATGTTACTTGGGAAAAATATTACCGTAAGAGTAAGCAAATTGCCTTTGAAAAGATTTCACAAATCTTAATGAGAACTAATAAGTCCCTGATATGGCTAAGAGAATGCACGGGATGGATGTATTTTTCAACAGTGAAATAATTTAATATTGATGTCTTGTGTTCATTTCGGTTTATGTATGTGCTGAATATGTACGATGCAATCAAAAAACATTTCAACAAAAGAATATTATATTATCTTATTTTTTATATTTATATATATATAAATAAATATATATATATATATAAATAAATGTATATATATATATATATAATATATATATATATAAAAATAGATATTAAAGAATGGCTTACCGTTTCGGAGCAATTCTCAGGAATAACTGCAGCCAAATTGTGATTTGATCTGAAAGAAATCGTTATATCATCTACATCGTTGTATCATCCATAGCTTTATTTTATCCATATTGTTATATCATCGAAATCGTTATATCATCCATGTTATTGATACCCAGCATATTAACTTAACTTGGTAAGCTAGGGTACGTCGTAATTTTTACATTGACTCTAAGATGTAACATGTCCCTTAATTAGGTCACGCATTTTTATCTGGGGCTGAATATAACCTAAACATTGGCTTTTTCAAAACTATGTACACTAGCTTCTACCTGGCCCTGAACATAGCCTAAACATTGGCTTTTTTTAACGATGTACACTAACTTGTACCTGGCACATTGACCACTTTCATGGACTTGAGCCAGTTGATGGGGTAGTAGCTCAGCAGTGAGACTCCGATCAGGACGAGAGCCGTGACGAACTCTTTCTTGGGAGCTTCCAGAAAGGGCGCCAGGAGGAGGTAAGCTATGCCAGTGACGACAACCACGGGGATCCACAAGTCAACCTGAAACATGCACACACGTGGGTACAGGTGGGCACACTCGTGGTACAGGTGAGCAAGCATGTGGTACAGGTGGTCACACACTTGGTACAGTTGATCAAACACGTGGTTCAGGAGTGCACACACGTGGTACAGGGGTGCACACACGTGGTACAGGTGGGCACACACGTGGTACAGGTGAGCACACACGTGGTACAGGGGTGCACACACGTGGTTCAGGAGTGCACACACGTGGTACAGGTGAGCACACACCTGTTACAGGTGAGCACACACGTGGTACAGGTGAGCACACACGTGGTACAGGGGTACACACACGTGGTACAGGGGGGCACACTCGTGGTACAGGGGGCACACTCGTGGTACAGTTGGGCACACACGTGGCACAGGTGGCACACACGTGGTACAGGTGGGAACAGACGTGGTAAAGGGGTGCACACACGTGGTACAGGTGGGCTCACATGTGATACAGGTGGGCACACACGTGATACAGTTGGGCACACTTGTGGTACAGGGGGCACACTCGTAGTACAGGTGGGCACACTCGTGGTACAGGTGGGCTCACACGTGATACAGGTGGGCACACTCGTGGTACAGGTGGGCTCACACGTGATACAGGTGGGCACACACGTGATACAGGTGGGTACACACGTGGTACAGGTGGGCACATACGTGGTACAGGTGGGCACACTCGTGGTACAGGTGGGTACACACGTGGTACAGGTGGGTACACACGCGGTAGAGGTGGGCACACACGTGGTACAAGGGAGCACACACTTGTTACAGTTGATCACACCCGTGGTACATGTGATCACACACGTGGTACAAGTGATCATTAGAGCAGTAGTTAGGGCTGCTCCACCACCTACATAAAGTCCCCCCCCCCCCACGAACATGGCTGGGGGTCGGGGTGCGTTTCTGTGAGACGACGTTGATAGGATTGTGTTTCTTTTAAGGTAGATACAACAATATAGTAAATTGAACCATTTATACTAGTAATATATTTTTATACTAGTTATATATTTTATGCTTTTTATATATTTGATTCTAGTTATATATTTTTGGGTCTGCTTTACAATTTAAAGTAAACATATCATAGTATAAAGGTAGCCATAGTATAAAGGTATCCATAATATAAAGATATCCTTGGTATACAGATATCCATGGTATAAATGTGATGCTATTTTAAAGCTTACCTTGTAGGGTCTTTTCTTGTGTTTATTTTTGTAACGTAGAAAGAGCAGCGCCAAGATGGACAGGCCGTGAAACAGCCAGACGGTGAAGATGTAGAACCTCAGGAGCTCCTGGCCGTCTGCTACACACATGACGAGTATAGCGATAACGCACTGTGTGTATGGGGGGGGGGGGTAGATGGGAAGAAGAGCAGTGCGGGGAAAAATAATGAAACAAAACAATAATGTTCTTTAAAGAACATAAATAGATGGACAGGCCGTGAAACAGCCAGACGGTGAAGATGTAGAACCTCAGGAGCTCCTGGCCGTCTGCTACACACATGACGAGTATAGCGATAACGCACTGTGTGTATGGGGGGGGGGTAGATTGGAAGAAGAGCAGTGCGTGGAAAAATTATGAAACAAAACAATAATGTTCTTTAAAGAACATAAATCACATACTTAAGAGCGGTTTAAAGGATTTTATGAAATATTTAACAAAGAAAATTACCTTAAGTAGGGTAAGCATGTAGTTTATATATGTATATATATTAAATCAATTTACAGAGTTATCAAGCAAACATAGCCACACATACACCCACACACACACACACACACAACTCACCCTCAGTGCCACTGTAAGAAGTGGGGTTTTGCTCCTCACATGCACCCAGGAAACCACGTCTGGCATCTGCCCATTCTTCGCTGCCACGCCAGACAACCTGTCACGGTGGGGAAGCAACCATTTATTTTGTTTAATGAACTTGATTTTAATTGCCAGGTTTCTACATTTCTTACAGTTAGTTTCTAAATAAACATTTTTATCACCCCCCCCCCCCCCCGGACTTTCCCCCAACCCGTCTACTTACAACACCAGAAACAAAAGGCTCACCTGCCCCCAACCACTTACAACACCATAAACCAAAGGTTAACCACAGGCTCACCCCCCCACCCCCTTACACACCAGAAACCAAAGGCTCACCTGTCCCCCAACCTCTTACAACACCATAAACCAAAGGCTCACCTGCCCCCCGACCTCTTACAACACCAGAAACCAAAGGCTCACCTGCCCCCCAACCCCTTACAACACGATAAACCAAGGGCTCACCTGCCCGATGACAAGAACGTGGCGTTGACGCTGCCCAGGGCTATCAGACCGACTCCCACAGAAATTATGGAGCTTGCAGCATTCAGACAATTTTGTGCCCAAGTCTGAAAGAAAGCGTTTGAATAGACATTTTTAAACAGCGCTATTCATCACTTGTTTTTAACGTTAAATCTTTTTGTTGTTTTTTTTTTGTTATAAATTATTTTCGCCAGCAACTTGAAAAGTTAGTTTTAAATCAATAACTCGTAAAACATTATGAGATGGAAGTTTTCAACAACAGCAACAACAAGAACAATAAATTTTAGTTAATTAATGAATTAGAAACTGGTTTTGTTAACAAGATGCAACAGCTCATTTTTACGAATGAAAATGTAAATAAATTTAACATCAAAAACCCCTTAAAAGAATTTTCATAGAAATATTTTTTTAGGCATTTTTGTTTGCACGTATGGAATAGTACGTGATTTATCATTTATTGAAAAACGGTTATGTTTGTGGGTCGACTTCTGGTGCAAACGGTTTCATATTTCCTTCATTTTCCCCTTCAAAAATACATTTTATTTTCACTGCACACCCAAATACGTCACAAATAAAAAGCAAATAGCAACAGCTAGACAATTAATCTCCACACCAAAGTACGCACCCATTGAAAAAAATCATATGTCACTCATCGTCCCCTTGAAAAAAAAAACACAGACTTTTTTAGGTTGGGGCTGAAAATTTAAAGAATGTGTTGTCACCGGCAACGAGTCTAAGTGCCAAGTTTCAGCTCGATAGGTTGACGGCAAGTTGTCTTAAACACAGATACACACGAATAAAATGGAAGTTACGATATCACTCCAAATATTGCACACATTTTTAAAGCAACTTACAACACCGATAGCTCTTGAATGCAGCAATTCTTCTTTGGACATCACAGTAAAAAAAGACAGAACCGTCATCAGGTAGATGATGAGCACCAGGGGTAGGACAGTCTTCACAATTCGGGGGACATTCCTGAGAGGACATGAAAATGCTTTCCGTTGAGGTAAAGACGTAACATAATTTCGTCTCAGACACATAGGAAAACGGCTCACAGCAAAACGAACACAATTTAGTGATTGACTTTTTTTTTTTCTTTTTTTTGGTTGGTCATACAATGTAAAGGTGAAGAACCTATTTGTGATACTTTGAGAAAAGGCAACAGTAAACCTGGTAGGCTGTTTACCTTGGGGGCTTTTTTATTCCACTGGTCACGTGATTTACATTCGACCTGAAATTAAAATATTATTTTTTAATTATTTTTTTTTTTAAAATTTGTTTTAATTTTTTTTCTTGACGTGACACGACCATGTGTTAAATTAAAACCAGTTATAATTTAAAAGTGAGGTTAAAGTTATAGCTAGCTAAACACGTTCTAAGGGAAAATATTAATTTCAATAAACGTATCGTAATAAATAACAACGCTATAACAGGACTTATGTCAGCGTGTGATGGTGATGTAATCCATTTCGTTATAGTTAAGTAATACATCGAGGCGGTGCGTGCTTTAGGACCAAGGTATCCATAGAAGCCCCTTTCCTACAACACAGAGCTCTCCGTTATTCCAGACAACCAAACTACAACCTTTACAAAGTTAAACCCATCCAAACTGCAACCTTTACGAAGTTAAACACACCCAAACTACAACCTTTACGAAGTTAAACACACCCAAAATACAACCTTTACAAAGTTAAACACAACCAAACTACAACCTTTACGAAGTTAAACACATCCAAACTACAACCTTTACGAAGTTAAACTCACCCAAACTGCCAGGAGCTGTCGTTAACCCAACCTAACAATTTTCTAAATGCCACGTCTACAAACATAACAACCACTGTAATTCGACCACTTAAAAGTGCAAGCCTCCATAATTCTACCCAATACACATACCAGCCTCCTTAATGCCAAACCACAAACATACCAGCCTCCTTAATGCCAAACCACAAAAATACCAGCCTCCTTAATGCCAAACCACAAACATACCAGCCTCCTTAATGCCAAACCACAAACATACCAGCCTCCTTAATGCCAAACCACAAACATACCAGCCTCCTTAATGCCAAACCACAAACATACCAGCCTCCTTAATGCCAAACCACAAACATACCAGCCTCCTTAATGCCAAACCACAAACATACCAGCCTCCTTAATGCCAAACCACAAACATACCAGCCTCCTTAATGCCAAACCACAAACATACCAGCCTCCTTAATGCCAAACCACAAACATACCAGCCTCCTTAATGCCAAACCACAAACATACCAGCCTCCTTAATGCCAAACCACAAACATACCAGCCTCCTCAATGCCAAACCACAAACATACCAGCCTCCTCAATGCCAAACCACAAACATACCAGCCTCCTTAATGCCAAACCACAAACATACCAGCCTCCTTAATACCAAACCACAAACATACCAGCCTCCTCAATGCCAAACCACAAACATACCAGCCTCCTCAATGCCAAACCACAAACATACCAGCCTCCGTAAGCCCACAGACCGTTGTAGCAGGCGAAGGCGAGATGAGTTGGAGACCAGGTTGATCCTGCCATCCCTTCGTCTATCACCTTAACTTTTCCTGTTGGATATAACTTATGATATCACGGTGAAAGTAAAGGTTGGCCTTAACATATACATATGTATAATTGGACCAAGCAGCCCGTAGCTATCATGGAATTCTATGCGTTTTTTTTGTTGTTGTTGTTTGTTTTGGAAAAAGGTTAGTTGGTACAGAAATGTCCGCACTTTTTCATCATCTCAAAACGTACCATGACAATGAAACAATCGCAAAATATGTCTGATTTTTTAATTATTTTTTTAAACTGGCATCCGTCCGTCCCGATGTGGCAATGGTGTAGACCTCGCAGGACGAAATTCACAAGGCCTGGGGCTATATTTTTTTTTAAAGGAGTATAAGTTAGTTCCCTGAACTGCAAATCGCCTTTCTCCACGCACCCGGATAACCCAAGGGAACATCAAATGTGCATGAATCAGGTCGGCACCAGTGGCGTCGCAGGAGTTGTCGGAATCTTTCATTGTACCAATGTATCCGCCTAGGGGACTCCATCTCCGGGTTTGAATTCAGCGTTTCCTTCTCTTAGATGAGTTGCCATCCAAGGTTTGCGAGTCCCATCCCCCCGGAGATTCACTCAGTTTATATTATTTTTAAACATTTAAACCCCCGTGAACTTGTTTCACATTGCCCCCCCCCCATACACCCTTTTTCATCCTCGCTAAACTCTAGTGCATCCCTTACCTAGGGGTCTTTTTCAATCAGATGAGATTTTCTTAAAATTAAAACTCTGTATTTTAATATATTTTTGGGTACAGATTATTCAAGATATGTTCAAGTGAATTGCCATTCAGGTATGTTAACAAATGTTTTTTATTTATTATTTATTGCTTACGCTCTGATCACTACTGGCTGATTTTGCTGAACTTTAATCAACACTGCCTATGACACAGTGAACCATCACTTCATCTCTTATCCACAACCTACTGACCTTCCACCATTCTCTTGATCCCCATCCCGATGACCACGGAGAGTGCGGCGATCTTCCCAACTGTGGCCAGCATTTGAAGACGTTCGGACAGTTTGGTGGACATAACATTCACCAGTGCCATGGACACTTGGATGGAAAGAAAAAAGGTCAGCTTTGAGTGTTGAAATGAACCACGTTGATCACAGCATGATTATATTTTTAAAAAAAAGCACATCACAACGTGGTTAGGTTCAGTTCTTTACAACAGGTCAGTGCCACAGCTCACACAACAGGTCACTCCGACAAGTCAGCACGACGGGTCAGTATCACAGGTCATTAAGACAGGTTAGGGCGAAAGGTCAATACGAAAGGTCAATATGGCAGTTTAGTACGAAAGGTCAGTACGACAGGCCAATATGACAGGCCAGTACATTAGGTCAATATGACAGGTCAATACGATAGGAATGAAAATTAACTGATCAAGGGGAAGGAGCAAGTAGGTATGTTTGCAACAAGAATAAACGAGATCCAAGCCAGCAAACAATTGTTACTTAATTATTTAAGTTTTCAACATTTCTTATGACGGGCAGAAATCTATTCTCTCAAGGATCTTGTTCCCCCCCCCCCCACCCTCACACCAATTCTCTCCCCTTCATGACGAGTATAATGTCAAAACTTGGAAGCGCCCGTGGTTAGATTAGCTGCCCTCAGCGGTAGTTATTTAGTAACGATAATTTGGAATAAAGATTGCTTCCACAGAGGATACCTGATATAATCAGGGGCGCTTTCCAATTGTTTTTTTTTTGTTGTTGTTTTTTTAAAGTTATTTTGCGACGAATTTTAAAAAAAAAATAATTATTATTTGCAGCATGAGTTGGGTGTTTGCGATCAAGATTGTCGCAGATCTACGTCACTTTGATAAGGGCACAAAGAAAAGAGTTGAAAAAGTTAAACTTTTGTATTGTGTTTGTTCAGTGTCATGGAGCTGTGCACTATTTTGAAAGGCTTCCCGTGGCCTTTTTAAAAAAAATAGAGCAAACACCATAATATGATGTCTTTGTTCTTTTGAGATAATATTCATCCTATTTCACCAGCGACGATAACTTAGTGTGTGCGTGCGTGTGTGTGTGCTTGTGTGTGTGTGTGCACTGTGACAGGACAACTGACACGCTGAAAGTTTCCCGTCCAAAAAAATGAACATAAAATAATACCGGTCTACAAATAATGGAGACAAGATAACCTCCAGTGACGTATTTGTAGGCGCGAAGTCCTGTGTCGAACAATGCTGACACCGGCGTAGATACAGCCCGACCGAAAACACAAAGTAGGGGGGGGGGGGGGGGGGCGCAGCGGTCGTCAGTCGCGTGACAAGAGCCTTTGTCGTTTCCGACTGTCATGGATGCACCTTTAGGCAGCTATGCTACCCCAGGTACGCTGGACGGGGGTCAGAGACCCGTGACACGCAATAGAGCCAGTGGCGTAGAAAGGAGGATATCCGCCTCGGGCAGCATTTACCCTAGCTACGTCACTGAATAGAGCACCCCTCCCCCCCCCCCAACTATTATCAACTAACTACAAAAACGTGAAAATAAAGGTGACCCCATAGTTCCAAACAAGATCCGTAGCGTATTGGACCGTTTTTAAGAAGGTTGTTAAAATTAAAACTTCAGTAATTTGTTATTTGATGTGAAGTTTTTAATGCTATGTTTCAAAGTTATGTGTAGCTCAGTTGTCACTTCATGAACGCATGTCCCCCCCCCTATTAAAAATAACACGACAAAACAATAACAAAGATAAAAAGCAGCATCTTCAAACTGGTGGGTCTTTAATATCTCAACGATATTTAGGCTGCCATCTGAAATAAATAGTACTCACAAACAGGCTTTTAAGGTAGTGGGGAGAAAAACAATTTTTTTTAATATTTAAAACAAATTCATTTGCTGAACATTCAGTGAACATCGTGCTAAAGATTTGTTTCCCTTGGTAGTCTAATCGCGGCAGCCAGGTCCTGGCAAATGCGCCTTGGGAAGCCCATGCCTACTTATTTTGACAATATAAAAATAGTGTTCGTTCATACATGTATATATTCTACTGTCAAATCTACATGGCCTAAGAATGACCAGCATACTGACATGGAGACCACAAATATCCACACTGCCTGGCAAAATGTGACTAACAGTCCCCCAGATGTCCACCCTGTCTAGCCTTGGTGTGACATACTGCCATTGAGGCCCCAGATGTCCACCCTGTCTAGCCTTGGTGTGACATACTGCCATTGAGGCCCCAGATGTCCACCCTGTCTAGCCTTGGTGTGACATACTGGCCATTGAGGCCCCAGATGTCAACCCTGTCTTGACTAAATATAACTTACGTACTGCCAATATGTCCCCTGATATCAACCCTGTCTTGACAAAATATGACTTACATACTGCCAATGAGGCCCCAGATATCAACCCTGTCTGGTCTAAATGTGACTTACATACTGCCATGGAGGCCACGATGACCACAAACGTCTCCGGTGGTCCACAATCATCGTAGATGGCATCTGTGACGTAATCCGTGAAGGCCAGGGCGAACACGGCTGTGGCACACGGCTCAGCCGCCGCTGCAGAGGAAGAACCAAAACTGAGAAATGTAATGTGGGAAAGCTGGGGCCTTTGACCTTTGGGTCTGGTCAAATTATTGAACTTTTTAAATGTAAATTAGGATCTTGTTTGGTCAAACTGTGGTAAATAGTCTGTAATTGTATCGATGGTTCTGGAAATGTCTCATATGTCCGGTAATCATACCAGTGACCCTGTTATATAATCCGTTATCATAAATCTATATTTGTAAAAGGGGTTTCGTATCAAGGGCCTTGAATTCACGCTATTATTGGACGATTTTGTCTACGCCCTCTACCCGATCGTTACAATTTTTTCCCAAATGCCCCCTTCCCCTCATTGATACACATCGTAACCAACTCGTGACCACCCATTGCCAACCCCCCCCCCCTCACGTGTCTTGTGTCATGTATGGATGTCCTCTAATCATTATAATCTGGTACCCCCTTAGGCAAGCAGTTATTCACTATGTAATTTTGCAATGATCTTGACCTCAATTTCCCTCGCACTGCACCGGATATGACGTTGCCACAATAGGCTTTGTCATTTCTAAGACCGGAAAACGTCATAGCGTACTATTTTTAGAAGGTCCGCGGACAAATATTGCTTAAAACATGGCAGCTTATAGTGTGTTTCAGCATATCGTTCGGGCGATCCTTGTATCTAGAGTTACTGTTACATATGACGTTCACGCAATGAAGTCGCATTTCAGAAAACAGAAGTAAAAAAAAAATGTGTAAAATATTTCGTAAAATAGAGTTGTAAACAAGTTTCAGGGACACTTCGCTAACATAGTAATACTGAACAGTGTTGACATTTTGTCCGCGCTGAGTACCCGGATGATCAGTAATGGTGACATCAGTTCTATTAATAGATTTCCGCCATTAAATGACAAGCCCTATTTCAACAAAACCGTTTAATTCCCCTGCACCAATTCGTCCCGTTTGGCGTGTGAGTTTTTCTCACCGCTGCTTCGACTTTCACATTAAAGGTTTAAAAAATCTGGCACCGTCGTCCTATAAAGCTTGAGTGTTACTTTTGAGCACAATGAAAACAGCAACACGATACTTTAAATATCCACCATTAGGCGGGTGAGAATTGTTCAATGGCGTTGATTTTGTCTGTGGGACCGAAAGGGGGGGGGGGGTTAGGTCGTTAGCCCGGGGGGGGTGCTATAACCTCGTTATGGTGGTGCAATCAAGATATGAACAATGTTTTAATGGACAAGACTCGTAGACAAGAAAATCTGGTGGGGGTGGGGAGCAGTTATGCTTGACAACGGCCACATTCTCATAAGGAACTCAAATTGACACAGATAATACCATATATTTAAGTGTTGCCACTGGAGGCCATTGACACAGATAATACCATATATTTAAGTTTTGCCACTGGAGGCCATTGACACAGATAATACCATATATTTAAGTGTTGCCACTGGAGGCCATTGACACAGATAATACCATATATTTAAGTGTTGCCACTGGAGGCCATTGACACAATACAAGGGTTATGTATTTAGGGACAGAAAGACCAGTCTACTCACCAGCAGTTTTAAAATAAAGTTGAAGTAAAAAGTTGCATTTAACTATGAAATTAAATAAGAGAATTCATTTATAAAGCTATTTCTTTTCAGCTAACAACGCTTGGATTTTCCGCATTTGAAACTAATTTTCTGCACATATCCCCCCTCCCCCACCCCCAAATTATAAATACCATGACAAAAACCATGTCAATGATAAAAATCAACATCTTTTAATGCCATAAATGCTTCCCCAATATTTAAGCTACCACTTGTAATAGTCAGTGATCATATACAGGGTTTTACGGTAATGGTAGAGAAAAGCGGATACATTAAAAAAAAATAACTTGCAGAATATTCAGTGAACATCATACTAACCAATTGTGTTAAAAATACATTCGCTTTTTTAGTCTATTCGCGGCATCCTCGAACTTTTTTAAGCGTTGAATCTTACTTGTTGTAATAAATTCATAGACCTAGTTTTGAATAGTTAATCCACGAACCTATCCTCATCCAGGAGTAGACGTATCCAGCCAGGGGGCCGAAGGCTTCTGTGATGTAGGCGTACTCCACCCCTTCCCTCTTCACCGACTCCCTGAGCTCGGCGAAACACAGGGCGGCTGTGGGGGGATGTTAAGGCACAATGAGACACAACGAGGCACGGCCAGAGACACAGCTCCAGACACATTAAAATGAGACACATTTAGGCGCAACGAGAAATAGGTAATAACTACGATGGGGTAAAATGGGGACATCAGCAAAGCTTTCTTAGTGCACCTTTTCCAAACATTGATAATCTTTCAGGGGCAATCACTCCTTATAAATGCCAGTCTCAAAATGAAAGTAACTTTTTTAATGCCGTTCTCGTGATTTATTTGCTGATTAGCAGAAGGCGCATGCGAACACATTGTTCTTTTTCTTTATTAAGACACGAAGACTGCATTTTTTTTTGGTATAATTTCTATGCTAAATATAATTATAATTCAATATGCGAGCGATTATAATACGAATAAAATAATGGTCATTCGGATAATCAACTTCCGGGTAATCAACTTCCGGGTAATCAGAATTCGTAAAATCGACGCTCTACTTTACTATTCTACAAAACATAATCGAAATAATGTGTAAATACTAGATACAGTGCAGAAAATATGCTTACACTGAGAATTTTCGAAAAAATATTATAAAGGTAGGACTATTGTAGGATTAATTCTTTAGCTGACAGTTTAAAGAGAGGTAGCTTAGTCGTTGTTTTTATCAATAACCTCAACGCCCTCGCCACCTCTCTAGGTACCTACCACACATGCTGAACACCCCAGCAAATGTCCACATCACCAGACTCATCCCCACTGACCCAACACCTGCCAGCACCCCTTTTGGCGTACCGAAGATCCCAGGACCTGAAACATAGGAGTTAAACAATGGTTGCACGGGACAAACCATGGCTGCACGGGACAAACAATGGCTGCATGTGACAAACAGTGACTCCATGGGACAAACAATAGCTGCACGGGACAAACAATGGCTGCATTTGACAAACAGTGACTCCATGGGACAAACAATAGCTGCACGGGACAAACAATGGCTGCATGTGACAAACAGTGACTCCATGGGACAAACAATAGCTGCATGGGAAAAACAATGACTACATGGGACAAACAATGGTTGCATGTGACAAACCATGGCTGCATGGGACAAACAATAGCTGCATGGGACAAACAATGGCTGCATGGGACAAACAATGGCTGCATCGGACGAGCAATAGCTGCATGGGACAAACAATGGGTGCATGGGACAAACAGTGGCTGCATTTGAATAAAAATTATAAATATAAATGTAATGGTTTTTAAATGCTTAAATCGCACACGCCTATAAACGCTTGACTCATAATTGCGCATATCACATACAAATGTAGGTAATGACTTTTAAAAGTCCTACATCAAAGACACATAAAGAATTTTAACTACGCAATTTTTCCTAAGAGAAAAAATTACCTTAGTGAACTAACAAATCGATTGGAAGCCCACAGATGACATATATACTCATGCCCACAGATGGCATACTGAGCCACGCCCACAGATGACATATAGATCCCTATCCACATATGACATATAGACCCCTGCCCACAGATTATATATAGACCAATGCCCACATATTACATATAGACCCCTGCCCAAAGATGACATATAGAACCATGCCCACATATGAGTTATAGTCCCATGCCCACAGGTGACATATAGGCTCCTTCTCACAGATGACATATAAACCCTTGCCCACAGATGACATTTAGACCCCGCCCACAGGTGACATATAGACCCATGTCCACAGATGACATATAGAGCCATGTCCACAGATGACAACATTTAGAATCATGCCCATAGATGACATATAGACCCATGTCCACATATTGCATATAGACCCGCGCCCACAGATGACATATAGACCCCTGCCCACAGATAACAACATTTAGACCCATGCCCACAAAGGACATATAGACCCATGCTCACAGATGACATATAGACCCATGCCCACAGATGACATATAGAACCATGATTCCATACAATGGCATCAAAAAAAACAACGTATTGTCGTAATATTGGATTTGACATAAACATATACATAATCAAAAGACTTGTAATCGCAACCATTACATCCACCCGCCTGTCCTTTTTGGGCTATGTTTGGAACCATTACATCCACCCTCCTGTCCTTTTTGGGCTATGTTTGGAACCATTACATCCACCCTCCTGTCCTTTTTGGGCTATGTTTGGAACCATTACATCCACCCGCCTGTCCTTTTTGAGCTATGTTTGGAATCATTACATCCACCCGCCTGTCCTTTTTGAGCTATGTTTGGAATCATTACATCCACCCGCCTGTCCTTTTTGGGCTATGTTTGGAACCATTACATCCACCCGCCTGTCCTTTTTGAGCTATGTTTGGAATCATTACATCCACCCTCCTGTCCTTTTTGGGCTATGTTTGGAACCATTACATCCACCCGCCTGTCCTTTTTGGGCTATGTTTGGAACCATTACATCCACCCGCCTGTCCTTTTTGGGCTATGTTTGGAATCATTACATCCACCCGCCTGTCCTTTTTGAGCTATGTTCGGAATCATTACATCCACCCGCCTGTCCTTTTTGAGCTATGTTTGGAATCATTACATCCACCCGCCTGTCCTTTTTGGGCTATGTTTGGAATCATCATGAAATCATCAATGACCTGCTGACCTGCGATCGCATTCAACCCATTATATAAGTCACACCCCCTTGACCTCTGATAGAGCACAGTTCATTACATAAACGACCTACTGACCTATGATGCACACAGCCCATTCCATAAACGACCTACTGACCTATGATTGCACACAGCCCATTACATAAACGACCTACTGACATATGATTGCGCAAAGCCCATTACATAAATGGCCTAATGACCTATGATTGCACACAGCCCGTTACATAAACGACCTTCTGACCTATGATTGCACACAGCCCACTACATAAACGACCTACTGACCTATGATTGCACACAGCCCATTACGTCAGCGACCTACTGACCTATGATTGCATTCATCACCAAAGATCCCCCGTACAGGAGGCCGATCTCGTTCCCTAGCGCATCCTTGCCCCCTTGCTTCTCATCCCTCTTCCCTCCGTCCTCCTGTCTCGTCCTCCCGTCCTCTCCGATGCTGCCTCGAGTTCGTATGCTCCATGTCACCGAGGGACGATGACCTTCGGCAAAGGCGGATCCTCTCTTGTACATTCCTGGGGAAATCTTTTCATTGAGACGGTGACATGAAATGACATTCTTTTCTTTTTTTCTTTTTTTTTTAAATTAAAAGAATGCTTCGTTAGCGTCATAGAATGTGAAGTGCATCATGTGTGGTAGGTGAGCCCGGGGAAACTACCTGGTTTTGTGTGACAATGATTGGTTGGTTTATTGTTGTGTTGTTATTTTTTAAATTTTTTAAATTTTTTTTTTGGGGGGGGGGGGGGTGGGGTTGGTGTTTATATTTTTAATTTTTTTAACTATTTTTATTTTATTATTTTTTTTTTTAATTTAAAGGATAATTGTGACAAAACTGTTTGACTGTTTGAGACCTGGCGGTTCGCGTTTTTACGTTCTTGTCTTCTTATCTCTAAATATGCATCATTACAATCGTATAGCATCATTCGCAAAAGTAAGGACACTTCTTGACACTGCTAAATTCGGGCGCGAACAAGAACTGGAAATGCAAATGTCGGTTTGATCCCCATTCCGTACAATTTTTCCTATCTTCTCCAAAAGCACTATAGTGTCACTGCAGTTCTAAGGAGACAACATAATAATAATAAAAATAATTTTAAAAAAACAACAACAACAAGTCATGTTAAACGAAATAACTTAAAGAGCTTTCCCAGCCATACGAAAAACAAAATGGTTAAAATAAATGATTGCCTCAGGCCTTCCAACCCCCCAGTTCATGTTACGCTCGCTGGAGTTGCCCTTGCCACCAGTGAAATATCCTCTTCAACACCATGCACAGAAGCACTGCAAATCCCCTCTATATGCATATGAGCCACAATGATCAATAAATTGATCTCGGCCCTTAATATATAGAAAAACAAGAAAATGGAAGCTTACAACAACAAAAAGAATACACTCTTCATTGTGCTATTACTAATATTTTGTTTCGTCTTTTAAAATCATGTTTACGTTACTGACAGTGGAAGGGACGCAGACTGTGCTGAGTAATGAACTCAAACAATGTCAGCTAAACCAAGACCTTCAACACCTCAAATAACAACAATAGCAGTATGGCAATACGGAGACTGTGCTGAGTAATGAACTCAAACAATGTCAGCGAAACCAAGACCTTCAACACCTCAAATAACAACAATAGCAGTATGGCAATACGGAGACTGTGCTGAGTAATGAACTCAAACAATGTCAGCGAAACCAAGACCTTCAACACCTCAAATAACAACAATAGCAGTATGGCAATACGGAGACTGTGCTGAGTAATGAACTCAAACAATGTCAGCGAAACCAAGACCTTCAACACCTCAAATAACAACAATAGCAGTATGGCAATACGGAGACTGTGCTGAGTAATGAACTCAAACAATGTCAGCGAAACCAAGACCTTCAACACCTCAAATAACAACAATAGCAGTATGGCAATACGGAGACTGTGCTGAGTAATGAACTCAAACAATGTCAGCGAAACCAAGACCTTCAACACCTCAAATAACAACAATAGCAGTATGGCAATACGGAGACTGTGCTGAGTAATGAACTCAAACAATGTCAGCGAAACCAAGACCTTCAACACCTCAAATAACAACAATAGCAGTATGGCAATACGGAGACTGTGCTGAGTAATGAACTCAAACAATGTCAGCGAAACCAAGACCTTCAACACCTCAAATAACAACAATAGCAGTATGGCAATACGGAGACTGTGCTGAGTAATGAACTCAAACAATGTCAGCGAAACCAAGACCTTCAACACCTCAAATAACAACAATAGCAGTATGGCAATACGGAGACTGTGCTGAGTAATGAACTCAAACAATGTCAGCGAAACCAAGACCTTCAACACCTCAAATAACAACAATAGCAGTATGGCAATACGGAGACTGTGCTGAGTAATGAACTCAAACAATGTCAGCGAAACCAAGACCTTCAACACCTCAAATAACAACAATAGCAGTATGGCAATACGGAGACTGTGCTGAGTAATGAACTCAAACAATGTCAGCGAAACCAAGACCTTCAACACCTCAAATAACAACAATAGCAGTATGGCAATACGGAGACTGTGCTGAGTAATGAACTCAAACAATGTCAGCGAAACCAAGACCTTCAACACCTCAAATAACAACAATAGCAGTATGGCAATACGGAGACTGTGCTGAGTAATGAACTCAAACAATGTCAGCGAAACCAAGACCTTCAACACCTCAAATAACAACAATAGCAGTATGGCAATACGGAGACTGTGCTGAGTAATGAACTCAAACAATGTCAGCGAAACCAAGACCTTCAACACCTCAAATAACAACAATAGCAGTATGGCAATACGGAGACTGTGCTGAGTAATGAACTCAAACAATGTCAGCGAAACCAAGACCTTCAACACCTCAAATAACAACAATAGCAGTATGGCAATACGGAGACTGTGCTGAGTAATGAACTCAAACAATGTCAGCGAAACCAAGACCTTCAACACCTCAAATAACAACAATAGCAGTATGGCAATACGGAGACTGTGCTGAGTAATGAACTCAAACAATGTCAGCGAAACCAAGACCTTCAACACCTCAAATAACAACAATAGCAGTATGGCAATACGGAGACTGTGCTGAGTAATGAACTCAAACAATGTCAGCGAAACCAAGACCTTCAACACCTCAAATAACAACAATAGCAGTATGGCAATACGGAGACTGTGCTGAGTAATGAACTCAAACAATGTCAGCGAAACCAAGACCTTCAACACCTCAAATAACAACAATAGCAGTATGGCAATACGGAGACTGTGCTGAGTAATGAACTCAAACAATGTCAGCGAAACCAAGACCTTCAACACCTCAAATAACAACAATAGCAGTATGGCAATACGGAGACTGTGCTGAGTAATGAACTCAAACAATGTCAGCGAAACCAAGACCTTCAACACCTCAAATAACAACAATAGCAGTATGGCAATACGGAGACTGTGCTGAGTAATGAACTCAAACAATGTCAGCGAAACCAAGACCTTCAACACCTCAAATAACAACAATAGCAGTATGGCAATACGGAGACTGTGCTGAGTAATGAACTCAAACAATGTCAGCGAAACCAAGACCTTCAACACCTCAAATAACAACAATAGCAGTATGGCAATACGGAGACTGTGCTGAGTAATGAACTCAAACAATGTCAGCGAAACCAAGACCTTCAACACCTCAAATAACAACAATAGCAGTATGGCAATACGGAGACTGTGCTGAGTAATGAACTCAAACAATGTCAGCGAAACCAAGACCTTCAACACCTCAAATAACAACAATAGCAGTATGGCAATACGGAGACTGTGCTGAGTAATGAACTCAAACAATGTCAGCGAAACCAAGACCTTCAACACCTCAAATAACAACAATAGCAGTATGGCAATACGGAGACTGTGCTGAGTAATGAACTCAAACAATGTCAGCTAAACCAAGACCTTCAACACCTCAAATAACAACAATAGCAGTATGGCAATACGGAGACTGTGCTGAGTAATGAACTCAAACAATGTCAGCTAAACCAAGACCTTCAACACCTCAAATAACAACAATAGTAGTATGGCAATACGGAGACTGTGCTGAGTAATGAACTCAAACAATGTCAGCTAAACCAAGACCTTCAACACCTCAAATAACAACAATAGTAGTATGGCAATGTCATTTGGTTTAAATACTTTTAAGCTCTGCCCATGCACCTTCCAGACTCGCAGTGGGGGGAGGGGGGGCAGACGCGGCATTAGTCAGGGACCCGAGCTAGATAGGGGCCGGCCCTTTTTCGAGTTTTAAAATATACGAACATGTTTGAAACACGAAAGGGGGCCCAAACTCTGACAGCTGCCCGGGGCCCCGAATTTCCTAGGTGCGGGCCTGCACCTTCAGAAATTCTTCAAAAAGATACAATTTTAAATTGTATTCATTAAGATAATAATTATCTTGTTTTCATAAATATAATAATTATATTGTCTTCATAAAGATAATAATTACCTTGTCTCCATAAAGATAATAATTACATTGTCTGCATAAAGATAATAATTACCTTGTCTTCATAAAGATAATAATTACCTTGTCTTCATAAAGATCATAATACCCTTGTCTTCATAAAGGTGATAATGACCTTGTGTTCATAAATATAATAATTTACATTGTCTTCGTAACGATGATAATTACCTTGTCTTCGATTCATTGCAGGTTTTGTTTGTGTCTAAAAACATATAATGCAATGTTATAAAATATTGACTTTAACTCCTCCGAGAATTTGTGGTAGGCGAATCGTCATTTTCAAAAAAAAAACTCTCCTCTCTAAGGCATCAAACCTCCTTGCGAACCATCGACTCCGGACTAGACCAGCAGTGTCCCGATCAACACGCCGCTTCCACAAAACCATTCTCCCAGATTTTCAAAATCAGAATACATTCGGAATTCATAGATTACAGCGAACACATCATTAAGTTGGAAGCATGATTGCGTGCTCTAAATATAAACCTGCTGCTCCATTCCAGAAACCAAACTAAGACTGCAGAAGAAAGAGAGAGAAAACTGAGCACAGCCCACCTTATCTAGTCCGCTGTCTTTAGTGCTGTCCGGGGGCGGGACGTAGAGAAAACAATGGCGCGTCACATTATGATTTGAAAAGCGTCAGGTCGTTATGGGACTGCTATAAATAAAACTGCTCCTCGTAGATCTCTGAATAGTGTAAATAAGAAATGTGCTCTTATAAGAAATGTGCTCTTATAAGAAAGGTTTTAAACAAAAAATGTTGATTGATTTATTGTTTAAAACTTTTTTTTAAAAGCAAATTAATCTGTTATTTAATACAATTTTTAAAACAAATATTTAAAAAAAAAAAAAAGAAATGTCATTGTTTTATAAGAAAATTTAGTTTAGAAATTATGTCTGTGTATACAATTATTGGTTTACAAGAAATTATTTGAGAAATGCTCTCACGGCGATGAAAAGGTTTATTAACAATCCAGGTAGTAAGAGGCACTTAAGTTCACTGAGGTTTATCATACCAACTTAGAGTTTATATATGAGAGGCGAATATGGCGTCTTCCACTAACCGGGCGTCATGTCAATAAAATAGCACTGAGACGAAAGTGGATCTCAGCAGCAATAAGCTAGGTTTTTTGTTTTTTTTGTTGTTTTTTGGAGGGGTTTGTTCGTTAAAAGGGATCGGGGGGGGGGGGGGGG